GGTAGGTGGGACCCTATTTGTATCCTTGCCTTATACCCTGCACTTTTGGGAAGAGGACTGCAGAGTTATTGACCAGCTCACAACACAGGCTCAGGAAGGGGTCTTGAGAAATTTCCAGGCCCAAGGGTAGAATCGACAGATGCCTAATGGCATGTGTATACTTGGCAGAGGCCTGTAACATGTATAACAGAGAGGACTCTGTGACATAGAGTTCATTAAGGGGCAGGTAGAAGGACTTATGAAAAGAGATGGTGGGAAAGAGGGAAGACCGGCCCTGGCCGGTTTGGCTCAGCGGTTAGAGCGTCGGCCTGCGGTCCGGAGAGACCCAGGTTCGGTTCCCGCTAGGGGCATGTACTTCGGTTGCAGTTTGTCCCCGGCCCTGGTTGGTCGTGCGGGTGGCAGCCACTCGATGTGTCCCTTCACGTCGATGTTTCTGTCTCTCTCTCCCTTCCTCTCTCTCCCTCCCACTCTATCTGTACAAAAGTGTCCTCGGGTGAGGATAAAAAAAAAAAAAAGAGGGAAGACCGTGGGCCTGGAGTTAGTGTGAGACTGTCTGGGCTGAGTGCCCTGCCGAAGCCTCTGGGTTGGTCAGAGCCAGACGCCATCCTCAGGGGCACACATCGGTGCACTGGCTGACATCCTCGTGTGGCATGAACCTCCAGTGCCCCTGCTTAGAATTTAGCCTGAGGTCACAGGAGCCTTTCCCAGTTACCAACACCACTCTTTCACATTTTTAGTTAGCCCTCCAAACCGTAGAGAAAATGAATGACCTGATGCAGTTGCGAGGGAGAGTCGAGAAAATTCGTGTGAGATGGCTTTAAAAGTAGCAATGAACTATGCAAACGCCGGGTGATAACATTGAGGCAGCTCCGTGGCTGGAACTGTTTTTTCCTCAAAAGTGTTAGTTCTCTCTATTAGGAATATCTTTTGTGGTATCACATTTTACGGGACACTAAGGCATGCTGTCTTCTTAAGTGGACTGGGTTTAATCCTCACCCAAGGATATTTTTCCATTGATTTTTTTAGAGAGAGTGGAAGGGAGAGAAAGAGAGAAACATCGATGTGACGCATCAGTTGGTTGGTTGCCTCCCGCACATGCCCTGACTAGAGCTGGGGATTGAACCAGCATGTATGTGCCCTTGACCGGGAATTGAACCTGTGACCCTTCGGTGCATGGGCTGACACTCTAACCACTGAGCATACTGGCCAGGGCTAAGCTGGGTGATATTTTTGTGGGTGTACTTGGGAGTGCCAAAGGTAAGTTATTCAATAGAATCAGTGTTGTCACGGGGCCGGTTAACTCTCTGGTCTTTACCATTAGCCAGTCTGAAAATTCTGGTCCCCACCAGGGGTTTGTAGCTCAAAATGACTCAGAAACTGTAAGTCCAATGGGGCTAATAACATGTGCTGTTTTCTGTTTTCACCAGCTTGTCTGGGAATCGCTTAGGAGAGCATGAGAGCCTGTGAAGAAAAGGAACTCAGGAACATGTATCATCAAGTAGTGCCACTCCTCTGCTTACCTGCAGTTCAAATCCAGTCTCAGCAGTCTGGCAGCATTTGCCAGCATTAATTTTATGCCATCTGTATTCCAAGTTGCAATTTCCTTTGCAATGCACTTTAGTGCCTAAGATCTATTTGTCAGCTGTTATTGAAAGGAACAGGTAAATTTGTCAGTAGTCAGTAAATACAAAGTAACCCAGAGAAAAGAAAGTTTGAATCTGAATTTGTTCAATGTAAGCTCCAGTGAAGAGGACTAGTAAACCAATCGCACGCAAGTCAGTCACATTTTTTTTTTTTAAATTTATCATAGGTTAGTTGATTTTCATTTCTTTGAAGACCCGATGTCCAGCCGATGTTAGAGCAGGCATTTCCCTGGAGTCAGAGAGAGCTAAATAACTCGCTTGTTTCCTGAGCCGCAGCCAGGACCTTTTGGGAATTGCTCAATACCAATACTATTCTAGGCCGTGATGTGCTCAGTGATCCTCCAGGTCTGTGAGGGACCTAACTTCTGTATTCCTGAGGGTTTACCATCTGAAACTCTAGGTTCAGGGGAGGAACTCACTGGGCAAAATGACTTTTTAAAAAATATTTTGTCCGAGAATTTTAGTTTGTAAGAATATAGAAAACCTCTTTTAATGTGTATATGTGTGTGTGTTTGTGTGTTGTTACTTAGGGAAGTAACTAGTACTTTTTAAGATAGTAAATAATGGGAAATGTTTCTGGAATGTTAGGTCACTTTAATTTTTCTCTCTATTAAAGAGGCGTGCCTTCACTATTAAAGATATAAAGCCCCACTCCTACAAATTAAACAAAATTCAGGTGAAGGTATGAGAACCCCACACTTCATTTTTGAAAACCTCTGTTGCTTGTTAGTACAGGAATGTAAACCAGTGTTTCTTGCTTAGATTCTGCAGGCTTTTTGCTACTGCAGACTGCGTATGGGAGGGACTCAGGACTCTCCTCCATCCTTCCCAACATCAAAGTTTTCTTTTCTTCATTGATGTTTAGAGAGAGAGAGGAAGGGAGAGGGAGAGAGATAGAAACATTGATGAGTGAGAACACTGATTGGCCGCCTCCTGCATGCCCCCCACTGGAGATTGGGCCCACAACCTGGGCATGTACCCTGACCAGGAATCGAACTGGCGACCTCTTGGCGCATGGGTCGATGCTCAACCACTGAGCCACACCAGCCGGGCCCGACATCAAAGTTTTAATAGCAGCTTGGCGAAAGGTCCAAGGAGTTTATAAGCCCTCATCTCCTAGTTATAATGAATGCAAGGCTCACTATGAGCAGCACCTGTTTCAAGCTTGATTCCTAGTACAACGCAGCCGGGTGGACCCAGACAGTGGCCGTGGAGAGGTCTAGACGCAGCCGTGTGCCGTTTCCCTTGCACTTTCCTGATGTCGACCAGCAGAGACGAAACTCGGTTCTCTCCAGTATCTGGAGCTCTGGAGGCAGGTTTTGTGTCTTTCTGTTTCTCTGCTGTGCATTTTGGATCTTTCCCGTGGCATACCAGGGTGAGCCAGGTGCAGAATCAGCCATGTGCCACATAACTATTAGCAACTGACAGCCACCGGTGTTTGAGTCACTCACTCAAGACAGCTGTGTCTGATCCCCCAGTTAATTCCAGGTCCAGTTTTGTTTTAGTCCTCTCCCTCCGCTCTGTGACCTTACAGCTAGATCCTCACCACTGGTCGCACGGACAGCACTGCTGTGCCCTCTCCTAGGCAGATGGCCTTGACTCCGTGTTGTGCCGTCGGTGGAACCTTTATGTTCCAACTGAAGTTTTATGGGTTCCAGTTCCCGTCATTGGCCACTCAACCAACCTAGAACTTTTTAAAGCAGCAACCACTTCAATGCATAAATTGCCTAAAATTCTCTTCTCTTTCATGTCCTCATGTTACTCTGTCTTTTTTTTTTTATCCTCACCTGAGGACATTTTTGCATTTATCTTCTGATAGAGTGGTGGTGGGGGAGAAACATCAATGTCAGAGAGACACATTGACTGGCTGCCACCCACTCGGCCCCGTTGGGGCTGGGGACAAACTGCAACTGAGGTACATACCCTTAGCGGGAACCGAACCCAGGACTCTCTGGTCCGCGGGCCAACACTCTAACTGCTGAGCCAAACTGGCCAGGTCCTCATGTTACTCTCTTAACCTTCACCGACCAACTCTTTGTGCCATTTACTCTTTGGGGTGTGGATGAGTATTCTTTCTGATGCTAATGGTCAGGTATAGCAAATGCCAAGTAAACACATATATAACTATTTTTAGATGTTAGTCTTTCATTTTTGATCATTGAGAATAAAAGCCTGTTATCAAGACAGTACTACTTTCTTCAGCAATTTCTCTGTGCTCAGTATATGTCTTCCAACATAATCTTATTTGATCTTTAATTGTTTAAAAGCCTTTTTTGATTAATTGATCTCTCACTGATGTACTGTTGGCACCAAAGAGTATATATTTATTTGACAGTGTGCACTGGTATTAAATAATTAATTTTTATGAATTCTACTGGATAATATGATTTACTTCACTAGAAGCGTTTATTGGGTGCCTTTCTTCCCAGTGGGTGCTGGAAGGTGGACCCCCTCTTTTCCTTACATTTAAAAAATACAAATCAAGGGCCGCAAAATCATCAATGTCAGGAACACTTTAGAAGTTCTGTATTACATATTGTGATAGTGTCGTAACTCTTCTTTCTCAGTTATAGAAATAAATCCTTCCCGATTGGCCCTCCACCCACACAGTCAGGAGACAGTTGCTTAGCACATCCCTCACTCCTGTCTGCATGTTACCGTGTTTCAGAGGTTTCCCAGTGAATCCCATGGAAGCGAGAGCCACTCACAGTCATAATCCGGTTTTGCCTTCTTTATTTTTTGATGTGCTTGTTAATTCATGTCCATCCGCAGTGGTCTGTAACATAGTGCTATTATCAGCTCTTTCGTCTTTAAAAGCCTCTTGTCTACCATTCTGACAAAGATTGATTAACTGCACTTTGTTGAAATCGATCATTTGGATTAAAAAATCTATCCTGTATATTTGTTCTGGCTACTTTTGCATGATTCCACCTTTTTTCAGTTAATCAATCTGCCACGCTGATTGCTTTTCCCTTTCTGGCTTCCTTTCTCTCACTCTTCTCTTTCTAAGAACTGTCCATCTCTTTGGTGTTTATGTCCTCTCTTAGGCAACAGCCCCAGGAGGAAAAGCCTGTGGCGGGAGGCAGTGGGATGAACTCTCTCTTTGGATCTCAGCTAGACATTACTCCCATTTCCCTTTTCATCCCACGAGGAGGAGGGTCCTCTCCTTAGTGACTCCCCCTGGAGCTGTTTCCGGGGTGGAAGCTTCCTGACCGATGGCCAGGCACTCAGTGGACCCTGAGGCATGCTTTTGATTTACAGTCTTAAACTCCTCTGGATTCTGATCTTAACAGGTGGACTCAAACTTCAACACCAAAATTCTCTTGGACATGCTGATCTTCTCTTTTCTTCTCCTAGGAACTGACTTTAACATAGATAGCTTACCTCTGCCTCGGAAAGCCCATCACGACTGGGCCCTTTTTCACGAAGAGTCTCCGAAGAACAATTATAAGCTCTTTCATAAGCCAGTCATCACTTTGTTCAACTACACCGCCACATTCAGCCGGCATTCCCACCTGCCACTAACGACCCAGTACCTGGAGGGCATAGAAGTCCTGAAGTCACACCAATACCTGCTTCCTTTGCAGTCGAAAAACCACCTTCGAAAAAGACTCGCTCCACTGGTGTACGTACAGTCAGACTGTGACCCACCATCAGATAGGGACAGCTATGTTCGAGAACTGATGACTTACATTGAGGTCGATTCCTATGGTGAGTGTTTACACAACAAAGATCTCCCTCAGCAGCTGAAAAATCCAGCCTCCATGGATGCCGATGGCTTTTATAGGATCATTGCACAGTACAAGTTCATCCTTGCTTTTGAGAATGCAGTTTGTGATGACTACATCACCGAGAAGTTCTGGAGACCTCTGAAACTGGGCGTGGTCCCTGTGTATTATGGATCCCCCAGCATCAAGGACTGGCTTCCAAGTGATAGAAGTGCTATTCTTGTATCAGAATTTTCTCACCCTAGGGAGCTGGCCAGGTACATCCGACAACTGGATTATGATGACAGACTGTATGAGGCCTACATAGAGTGGAAGCTGAAGGGGGAGGTCTCCAACCAGCGGCTTCTCACAGCTCTCAGGGAACGGAAATGGGGAGTGCAAGACATCAACCAAGACAACTACATCGATGCATTTGAGTGCATGGTGTGCAGCAAGGTGTGGGATAATATTAGGCTTCTGGAAAAGGTAAGTGAATCAAGGCCTGGCAAGGAGGAGCTGGGGGGCCGGCTGGGTGGCGTCGGCCCCACTGCAGTCTCCTGTCCCGCTGCCTCATCACTGCCCTCGTCCCTATCAGAGGCCAGGCTCTGCAGGCAGGTGGACTGTCGCCTTTCTTTGAGGACTGCCGTGAAGTTTGCTGTCGTGGTCTTGTTCCCATAGGCCTTCGATTCTCCTTTATGGTTTCTGCCAGAGGACACCGTGCAGGTCTGGGCAGTGAGACGGGAGGCTGCAGGAGGAGGGAGGAATTTTATCCTTTGACCTTTTACCTTTCTCTCAATGCTGCGGTTTCTGCCAGACCCCTTACACGCATGCCTCCCAGGCTGCTGTTCTGAAACCTTTCAGTTCACATGCACGTTCATTAACCGCTCTCCTCTCTGATTACTGCTCTTTCTCCTCGTCTTTTTTTTTTTTTTTTTATCCTCACCCGAGGGCATTTTTCCATTTTTTGTTCAGGTAGAGTAGGAGGGGGAGAGAGGAACAGAGAGAGAGAGAAACATCGACGTGAAGGGACACATCGAGTGGCTGCCACCCGCACGACTGACCAGAGCCGGGGACAAACTGCAACCGAGGTACATGCCCTTAGCGGGAACCGAACCCGGGTCTCTCGGGACCGCAGGCCGACGCTCTAACCGCTGAGCCAAACCGGCCAGGGCTCTCCTCGTCTTTTTAATGTATAGAGAATATTCAAAGGATGGGAATAATCCTTAAAAGACTTTCTTTTCTTAAATTATTATACATAAAGTTCTTAGTAATGTACATAAAGTTCTTAGTAATGTCTTCAGAGTTCTAGATGCCTTTAACTTTTGTTTATTTGCTTATTTTTATTCACTTATACTAGGAATGGCCCCACTTTATATATAAATGATTTTTTTATAAGGTAATTTATTGAAAGAAAAATAAAATTTAGTTTTAATTACCTTTGAAATTAAAAAAAAAAAATTAGAGGCCTGTCAGTCCTTTGCCTGACTCCCACATACACATGTTTTATATAAATTCTCTAAAGGCAAACCAATTTTGTTAAATATTTAAATGTTTATTTTAGCTACCATATTGATTTCAGAAAGTACTTTTATGTACTACATGTGTACTACGTAAGCCTTTTTATACTAAGTATGTATATATTTAGACAAATTAAAAATATTTGAAATATTATTTTCCTAACTTTAATTATTATGAAATTTTAAATTATTTTATCTAGTTTTATATAATAACTTTTTACTCATAAACTCATTTATTTTAAGCTGAGTGGCTGGGTCAGCAACAGGAACACTTACTGTTACATCATTCTTCTCAGAAAATGCATCCTGATTTCTAATGACTTCTTTTATGACCTAATCTACAGGGCAACATAACAGCAGAAAACAAGATAGACATACTGCTGCAAAAGCACATGAGAAAGTAGAGACCATATTAATTGCCCATACTATACTGATTATTTATTTTCTAAACATGTCAAGCCTGAAACAGAACTTCTGAGGGTGATGACTTGCCTGCCCTGTATTTCACAGTCCTGAACAGGTTTGGAAATCATACTCAGAGAAAGCGGAAAGAACCACACACACCCGCACTGCTTCCGCACCTCACGGAGCACTTTGGCCTGATTACTGGGGACTGGAAAAGAGGATATAGCAACACTGGTAAACAGCTTTGTAAAAGATGCAGGAGAATACATATATTCCCGCATTTCTAACAGAAACAGCCCACTGCGAGTCTTCAGGGTGCCTGAGGGTGGTGTGATTGATGGGCTTTCCTCCACTACGCTGTTATTCCTCCGAGTGGTGGTCCGTGAGGATGGTTACGAGGCTTTGCTAGCGTTTCAGTGAACTTGCTACCGTTCTCTAATGCTAATGTGCTCATTATTGAAAAGCAAAACAAAACATACCATGACAGTAAATTAAAGGATATTGGACCAGTTGTTTTCATTTGCATTTATTTTACAAGATTTGGTGCAGCTTTTATAAGGCTTGGCTTAAACTACTTAAATATACATTTCTTCACTTTTGCTTTCAGCCAAAGAAAAGCTGAAAGAAATTATTTTATTTCCTTTGTGATTATTTTTTATCCTGCGTTTGATCACAGTTTAAATCATTGTACTTGAATGTAGAAAATATGATTAGAATATCAAAGGCATTTCCCCTTTATTCTACTTCTTCCCCTTCTCCCTCTCGTACACGTACAAACCCAGTACGTTATCTAGTGCTGTGTAAACAATACCACCACAAACGTAGTGGCTTAAAACAACATGTGCTTGGTATGTCACAGCTTCGTGGGTCAGGATTCTGGCCATGGCTTCGCTAGGTGCCCTGGAATGCTGCAATCAAGATGTCAGTCAGGGCTGGGTTCTCATCTGGAGGCTCAACTGGGGGCAAGTCTGCTTCCCAGTTCACATGCCTGTTGGCAGAGTCAATGTTGAGGCTGTAGAACTGAGGGCTTCTGTTCAGGCTAGTTGTAGACTGGAGGCTGCCCTCGGCTTCTGGAGGCCACCCACAGTTTCTTGTGTTGGAGGAAAGCCCCAAAAGTCTAAATTTAGGATCGATTCTGAAGAACTGACATGTAGTCTTTTTCAAATTCATAAGAGTTTTAATAGGAGAAACTTACATACATGGGAAATGCAGCTGACCCCAGTGGGGGCTGGCCAGGAAAAACTCACACCCCTCCCAGGACTGGCTTCCATTTAAAAGGGAGTTAATAACAAGGGTTGATAGCAAAACCAGCTGACAGGTAGGCCTCCCAAGAAAACAAAGAATCACTAAGTTCAAAGAAAAGTTAAAAGATAGTATCAGAAAGTTACTACACTCTCTATGTTTATTAACCTCCTTCCTGGGGACATGACGTTCATCTTGGGGCAGCTTTCTGGTTTTCCAGGTAGTCAGCCATGCGTAAGGTTACAGAGAGTTAAACAGTCACAGGGAGTTCAGCATCTCCCAGACGCCTTTGCTGCTGGGGCCATATTGCGTCTCTAAAGTGAATTCCCCTTCTCTCGTCATGTGGGTTTCCCCATCGTGGCTGCTTACTTCCTCAAAGCCAGCCAGCGACTGAGAGATCCCAGCAAGACCAGTGCTACAATCTTAAATATGTAACCATATACACACAGTTACAGACATCCTCTCATCTTTGCCATATCCAGTTGATTGGAAGCAAGTGACAAGTGAAACCTACTCAAGGGGAGGGGATTACACAGGTCATGACTACCAGCAAGCAGGGATCCTGGGGACATCTTGAGTCTGCCCTCCTGGCGAATCCAAGTAGGCTTATTCTCAGTGTTGTTTGCTTTATTTATGTAGGAGAAAGTCTTTCAGTATTGAAGACATCACCATGAGTTCATTTTAGGCAGTTAAAGAACATTTATTGATAAATACTCCTGTGCTCCAAGAGGCTAAAATAGGAGAGATGGCATGTAATCATGAGAAACATAACTTCGTGGAATAAGAATAAACTTTAAAAAAAATTTTATCTTGATTGTTGGAAGTATTACAGATGTTCTTCCTCCTCCCCCTCCTCCATTGACACCCTCCTCCCCTGGGATACACTTTTAAAAAATAGCTTTATTGAAGTGCAGTTGATGTTCAATAAACTGCATATATTTAAAGGGTACAATTTGATTAGTTATGACATGTACATATACCTGTGAAGTTACCACCACAGTTGAGATGACGAACATTTCTGTCATCCCTCAAATGTTTCTTCATGTCTCTCTCACCCCTTGCCTCAGGCACCCATCTGCTTTTTGTTACTTTTGACAAAAAAGCTTAGGCAGTTTTCTAGAATTTTATAGAAATGGAATCATGTAATGTGTACTCTTTGTGCCTGGCTTCTCTCACTCTGCATGATAATATCGACATTCATCCACTGTGTTGAGACACATATTAGTAGTCCATTTCTCTTTGTTCTGAAATTTGGACCTGCTGATGGACGTTTGAGTCGTTTCCAGTTTTTGACTCTTACAAATAAAGCTCTATGGACATTTCTGTAAAAGTCTCAGTGAGGATGTATGCCTTCATTTCTCTTCTGTAAATACCTAGGAGTGGAATTGCTAGAACATATGGTGGATGTATGTTTAACATTTTGAGAAACTACTAAACTGTTTTCCAGAGTTGTTCCATTGTACAGTCCCACCAGCATTGGATGAGGGTTCCAGTAACAGTTGGTGTGGTCAGTTTTTAAATTTTTGCCATTCTGATGGGTGTTTAGTGGTATCTCACCGTGGTTTAACTTTCATTTCTCTAGTAGCTAATGATATTGAATATCTTTTAATGGTTTATTTTTCATCAGTACCTCCTTTGGTAAAATGTCTCTTTAAATCTTTTTCTTATTTTTTGAAAATTGAGTTGTCTTGTTAATCTTGAGTTATAAGAATTCTTTATATATTTTGAATATAAGTCATTTGTCAGTTTTGTAATTAACAGAAGTTTTCTTCCAGACTGGGGTTTCTTTTTAAATTTTATTTTAAATTACAATTTACATTCAGTATTATCTTTTAATTTTCTTAACAGTGTGTTTTGAAATATAAAGTTTTTAATTTTTTTTTTAAATCCTCACCCGTGGATATTTTTCTATTTATCTTCTGATAGAGTGGGAGAGAGGGAGAGCAGGGTAGAGAGAGGGAGAAGGAGAGAAACATCAATGTGAGAGGGACACATTGACTGGTGTCTGCCTGCATCACCCCGACCAGGACTGGGGATGAACCACAACCAAGGTACATGCTGGTGATCAGAATTGAACTGGGACTCTTTGGTCCGATGGCTAATGCTCTAACTATGGAGCCAAATCGGCCAGGGCTGAAGTTTTTAATTTTGAAAAAGTCCAGTTCATCATTTTTTCCTTTTGTAGTTTATGCTTTTTTATGAACTGTTTAAAAATCTTTGTATAACCCAAGGTTGCTAAGATTTTCTTCATTTTTTCCCCCCCTGAAATTTTGTAGTTTTAACTTTTATGTAGTCCTATCATCCATTTGGAGTTAATTTTTA